GGGGGGGCCGGGCCCCTTCCCCGCCGCAGCGGGAACAGGAGCGCTCTGCGGCAGCTGCAGCCAAGGGCGTGCCGTGAGGTACTTGCTGAGCCCTCCTGAGGGTGTTACGGCCTCTTACGGCTGAGGACAGAAATAACGTTGAGAGAACAACGCTCTGAACGAGATTGTCTCCTGTGGCAGGGCTGGTGCAGTTGGCCTATACACCCAACCCCTGTTTCCCGCCTCGAGGGTCCCGTGACAGGTAACCAGCATTAGCCTTTTTCAGGAATTTTTAAGACTCATAGAAAGAAAAAAAGTATTTGCCATACCTGGCTGAACTGAGGTAATTTTGACTGAAAAGGTGGAAACTTAAGTAGTTGAGAGCTAAACCAAAAAAAAAAAACCCAAAATTTATCTTGAGCATATCCCTCCCCACAAGGCTGTGCCACTGACTTCTCTCACATCTCCATGTTACTTAAGCTTTCACACAGTTTTAAAAAGCTCATTTCTCTTCCCGGTTCAGCCACTGAGCCAAGGCAGATGCCAAAGCCAGCAAGGGGCTGGCTCAGCTGGAACAGCAGGCCTTGGAGATGGAAGCACACCTCACACAAACAATTCACCAAACCTTCAGTGATACCTGTTAGCACTCAAGTTTTCACTAATGAACCTTTCCAGAAATGTTTGCCTGTAATTTCTTTTATGTAGATGCTACATTTGTGCAAAACTATAGGCTGGAAACCAGTTGTTCAGTAGGCTCTCTCCAACCAAACACCACAAAGATTTTCTGTGCCTGCTTGCAGTTTAACTTCCTTCCCACTGTATTGACTTGTTCTAAAAAATCTTAAGTACATTCAGGAGCACTAGAAACAATATTTAACCAACCTTAGAAGATTAACTCAGCCTCCCCATACTGAGAGGCAGAGGCTGTGACGCCACAAGCCCGCTCATCTCCCCACAGTATTGCAGCATAACCAGAGTCGTTTACATGTTTGGATCTCAGGACTAGGGGGAAGTTAAAAATAGATCAAGGAAAAAATTGAACTGACAATGTTCACCTGGAATCAGGAAGCTTCCAGTGTCATGGAGAACAGGAACACAATAGGCAGTTTCACAATTTGCTTTAACTGTACAATATTAAATCAAACCCTGGCCTTTTGCAGGAGCCATGCATTTTGCTAGTTGGAATCGGCACCATTTTGGCTGTGAAGAGGAGGATTCTCCAGGAGTACCAGAACACAGGACAGACTGGAAGTCTTTTGTCATTTGCTGCCATCTATCAGCAGTGGAGAGCAAGACAGGTAAAAAAAAAAATCAATGTGCAGTAGCAGCCCATTGGCAGTATAGAGCATTGTCACGCAGGCCTTGAAACCAGAGCTGATTGTGGTGCTGTATACACCTCACTGTCCGCATATTCCAGTACTGGCACTGGCAATCTTTGCTTTATCAAGGGAATCTTGGACCTTCCAAGTGAGTTTTCTTGACGTCACTCCGTTAGGTTCCCTCATATCTGCCCTGGCTCATTCTCAGGGTGGGAATCCATTCCTGTCGCTATCCCAGAGAGCTTCCTGGCTCAGAGACACTCTCATCTCCTGGCTTCCTACTCCTACCGTCTTGTTTTCAGAAAAGTCAGTTTAAGAATTTTTTTTTTTTTGCC